TCTCTTAACCTACTTGCAAGGGATACATGCACCGTCCACTAATTTTATTTTGTTTTGTTTACACATAGGTGTCTTCACAAACAATTTGACACCATTGAGTCAATTACCAGGCTTACTTAGCCTCACTCTCTCTGTGGTACCTTTAATTATTGCATTGCTGCCAGGTACACACATTTGTCTAATGTAGTTTTGTTCTGTGAATTCTGTTACATACAGCTGGTTCCATAAATGCTTAGTCACCATGATGTCAATTAGTAGGCCCTATGTGACCTCACCTGATTTCCCTATTCCTTGAATTGTTGTGAAAATGTTTAATTCTAATGCTATTAATTCATCAGGCATGGGTGACATGGATACTACATCACATATAAGAAAGAAAGGAAAGAAAGAGAAGCCAAGTGGCAGGTGATGGGAATGTGTCATGTAGAAATCTGGCTGAGGGCCAGGGAGATGGGAATGTGCTGTCATGGAATATTGCTACCGAGTGGTGGATGACGAGGACATTTCATCAGAGCTCTTTATGGGAGATTAGACTCGGTGAACCTTTAGGAAGGGTCTCTTGCATTATTTCCAGCAGTAAATGAAGGTGCAATTCACTATCTGTGAACCATGCCTGGAAGAGCACTGGCTCCAGGGAGGACATTATATGCAGGTTCCCATTCCTACTCACCCTCCTTGCTGGTTGCACAAGGTGTGTTTTGGAAAACTGAATACTATTAAAAAAAAAGAAAGAAAGAAAGAAAAAAAAAGGAAAGAAAGAAAGAAAAGAAGCAGAAGAAGAAGAAAAATAAAACCTACTTCTTGTAGACTGCTTGGAGAGATAACATGGAATCTACCCGATGACAATAGTCTATTACTGTCTTGTTATAGCATAAGAAATGAAAAATATAGACATTGGAAAATGGATAAACAGTGTATGCAAATTAATAGCTAATAGAATAGCAAAGAGAAGGCAAGTTATCTTGATAGTGCTTGTGTGGGCTGGGACTTATGAAATGCATACTTGGGAGAGTCATCACTGAAGTAAGCGTAATACCTGTAATTTTGTCCATGCAGGAGTCACAAGGCACTGAGATCCAACAGGCAAACATGACTTGTAGATTTATTTTTTTATGATGATTTAAGAAATAGGGAAAACAGGTGGGATCAGGTAGGTCCTGTGAATATATATGTATGGGTATAATATATACTTTTCTTATATACAGACTCCCATACTACTGATTAATTCTTGAACTCAGATCTGACTCCACCTAGAGGATTGGCAGTTATCAGAAGTTGCATGTACTAGGTTTATTTGACAACTTTGGCAATATAAACTCTTGATTTTGTCAGAAGAAGCAGATTGGTCATGCCTAGCTTTAGGTAACTTACAACTGTGCCATTTTACTTGTGAACCGTTTCTTGGGAATTACACAATATTGGTGGGTAGCGTGTCTCTCTAAACACCTGTGACAGTAACCGAATCCTACTCCTCGGTGAGTAAACATTAAGCACTTGAGTCATCTAAAAACTGAAATCACGGAGGACACCACACGTAGACATGCCTTCCATGCATCAGCAGGTTTAAAAAGGGAATATATAACCATGAATACCTGATCCTGCTGCCAACTGTTGGAAGGTTCTTTGGTAGCAGTTGTGGTACCTACATTGGCTGGGGACTGGACACTCTGGTTGGTGGTAGAATCAACGTTCTTATTTGCCTTTTCCTGTAGAGCGTCTTCCTGTAACTTTTCCAATTTTTTCTTCTTAATTTCTTCACGTTTTTGTAAGAGTTCCTGACGCCATCTCTTCCAGTCCTCCTCATACCTACAGAAACCACAAAATATTGTAATTCAGGAAAAAAAAAAGGCTTTTCCTTCTATTTCAATACCATTAAAAATTGGCTAGTGGCCAATGATAAAAAGCTGCTGGCATGCATCAACAGTTTCTTCATTTCCACCTGGCTCATTTAATAGCCAGGAATAGGAGCCAGAGAAGAGAATTAATGGCCTCCCTGGAGATGGCACTCTTCCAGTCATGGCATACAGACATTACATTCCATACTTGTTTATTGATGGAAATAATGCAAAAGTCCCTTCCTAAAGGCCAAACGAGTCTGATCACCCTCCAAGATTCATGGCAAGTCTTTCCTATCACCCTGGCCTTCAGCCTCATGATGGCAAGCTCACGTGCCCCTCAAGCCAAATTTTTTCATGACGTGATGGTCACATCATTCAGATTGTAAGGGTTAACAAGCAAATGTTAACAAAAAAATTAATAGGTTTGTCTTTGCTTTGTGTGTCTCAAATGGATATTATCACCAAACAAGCGATGACGCCACTGTCAGAGAAAGATGACCTCCCTCTGCCATCCAAATGCATTATGCAGACCACTGAGCTACGATATCATTCCCTCCATATTCAAATGGTTAATACTCCCAAGTAACTCCATTTATTATTATTATTATTATTATTAATTATTATTATTTTTTTTGTATAACTCACCTGTTAAGAGCATTCTT